GACAGTGGATCGTGATACACCCTATCGGGTATGATCAGGGGAGCATGCAGATTATAATAGGCTTCGAATTTTTGGGTGTACCGCCTACTATCACGTCAATGAGGGAAATCTTGATGCGAGGGCCAAGAAGGTAATTTTCTTGGGGTATGTAAAGGGTGTAAAAGGTTATCGCATTTGGTGTACAAAAGATTTGAAGTTCGTGATCAGTAGGGACGTTACCTTTGATGAGAAGTCCATGATTGCTAAGGTACCCAAAGATGGTGGTGTTGAGACTGTTAGGACTTCCAAGTCCCAGGTTATTGAGATAGAACCTAAAAACCAACCAGGTTCTAGTCATGTTCAAGTGGAAAGTCAGGTAGATGATGACCTTGAGCAGGAGGAGGTTCAGCAAGAGAATACACAAGCACTATAACAACAGCAGCTCGAGGATAGCTTGGCTTCCACTAGGCCAAGTCGAGCATATAAACAGGTACAGAAGCTGGGGGCTAATCAATCCCTAAAGCACTATGGACAGGTTAATTTGGTTGAGTACGCACTCTCGATAGAGGAAGATGAGCCGGTCTCCTTCAGGAAAGCTATTTGGGATAGAGATAACGAGAGTTGGTTGGCTGCGATGGAGGAGGAGATGGAATCTCTCCGGAAAAACCAAACATGGGAGGTGGTCCCATTTCCCGTAGGAAAGAAAGCTATAGGTTGTAAGTGGTTGTATAAAAGAAAGAAAGATCCTTCAGAGCTCGGTGGTACAAGGTACAAGGCGAGGTTAGTGGCTAAAGGGTTTGCACAAAGAGAGGGTATGGATTACAATGAGATATTTTCTCCGATGGTGAAACATGGATTACAATGAGATATTTTCTCCGATGGTGAAACACACTTCTATTCGGGTGCTATTGAGTATTGTTGCTCATGGTGATCTTGAGCTGGAACAACTCGATGGTGCTATTGAGTATTGTTGCTCATGGTGATCTTGAGCTGGAACAACTCGATGTAAAGACGGCCTTCTTACACGGAGACTTGAATGAAGAGATCTATATGTATCAACCTGAGGGCTATAAGGTTGAGGATAATGAGCATCATGTATGTCGCTTGAGAAAGTCACTCTATGGACTGAAGCAATCTCCTCGCCAGTGGTACAAGCGATTTGACTCTTTCACGCTGAAGCATGGGTTTTCCCGAAGCGATTATGATTATTGTGTTTACATTCGGAAGCTTCGTGAAGGTGATTATATCCATCTTCTTTTGTATGTGGATGACATACTTATTGCTTCTAAGAGCAGGGTGGAGATAGATAGGTTAAAATCTCAACTTGGTAAAGAGTTCGAGATGAAGGACATGGGTGCTGTAAGGAAAATACTGGGTAGGAAGATTAGAAGAGAATGGGCGAATCGGCGATTGTTCTTAAGTCAGAAGAGCTACATAGATCGGATGATCACGAGATTCGGAATGCAAAGTGCGGTGGTGACTCCATTGGCTCCACACTTCAGGCTCTCAGGTAAACAATCTCCCACTACAGCTGAAGATAAGGCACATATGGAGCGTATTCCTTATGCGAGTGTAGTTGGCAGTTTGATATACGCTATGGTATGTACACGCCCAGATATTTCATAGGCGGTTAGTGTGGTCAGCAGGTTCATAGTGAATCCGAGAAAGACACACTGGGAAGCGGTGAAATGGGTCCTGATGTACTTAAAAGGTATCGCGGATACGGATCTGTGTTTTGATGGAGATACATGTTAGATCGACGGGTTTGTGGACTCAGATTATGCGAGTGATCTAGATAGACAGCGATCTACTACGGGTTATATATTCAGGATACATGGGGCTCCAGTTAGTTGGTGATCGATGTTGCAAGCTACAGTAACACTTTCTACTATAGAGGCCGAGTACATGGCCATAACGGAGGAAGTGAAGGAAGCATTGTGACCGTGGGGTCTTCTAGACGATTTGGGGATTGAGCAGGAGAGCGTGAATTTATGGTGTGACAGTCAAAGTACGATTCACTTGGCGAAGAATCAAGTTCACCATGCTCGTACTAAACATATCGACGTCATATATCATTTTGTGCAGGATGTCATAGAGGAAGGGGATATTTCTCTCATGAAGGTGCATACGAATGAGAATCCCGCAGACATGTTAACCAAGATGGTCACAGGTAGCAAGTTTAAGCATTGCTTGAACTTGCTTCATATCAGCCCGTGTTGATCTGCCCAAGAGGGCATGGCCCTTTGGGGCGATGATGGGGGTGAGGTGGAGACTATGTTGGAGAATAATTGCAGAACTACAGTTAGCTTGATCCCGATGGAGGGTACGTAGGTAGCCGCGGTATAGTGGCGCAGCTGGTGTAGCCTGGTTTAGAGTTCGCGGTGTTCTTCTGGTGTTCGTCCATAATTTAAGGTTTATCAAATGATGTACAAGGTGGAGAATTGTGAACGTGGGGGGCTCACCACCTCATCCTTTTCCCCACGCCACTCCCACGAGTTCGTGGGCGCTATGAACGTGGGGTGGGGGGGACCCCACGTCCCACGTGCTCCCATCCCTCCTTCCCATGCCCACGACGAGGACGTCCTATCCTCGTGTTCGTGAGCCACCTGCCAACCCACGACGAGCGTGATTTTCTTCGCGAGCGCGGAATTTTTTCTGGAGCCTTGCCCGGTGCTTCCTTGCCTATAAATAGAGAAGGGAGGCAGAGAGGAGATGAGTGGGGAAAAATATTGAGAGGAAGAGTGTATATTTTACTTTGTTAAAATATTTCACTTTCTATTCTAGTTTCCTTTGAGAAACAAGAATATAGAGGTTGACTTGTGCTTTTGTAAAAACAAAAGCTAGGGCTCTCTCTCAGATGATATCGCTTCCGCGGCGTGAGGGCGTGACTCTGCGCCCAACAAAAACCCTTTCCATAACAATTAAAGATAGAATACTTTTTCCATAATAATTATAGATTGAATACCCTTTTCATAACAATTAAGATCGATAGAATTAGAATTGTGTTACATGTAAACTTCTACTAATAACATTAGTGAGACTAGTTGGGTCCCATCGAGAACCAACTAATAATTAAATAAATAATTTTAATTTAACAGTCAAATCTTTATCCAACTAACTATTCATAAAAGCTCTTTCATAATATGAGATTAATTATTTATAAATAATATCTTATATTCAGTCTCCTCCAGTATCATTTATTTTAGGCAACTCTTTTGAGCAGAACAATTCCCTTATTTGCTCATGCCTAAACAGTTCTCATGAACATAAATAAAAATTATTTTAAAACATTAAAATATTTTATTTTTATAAGAATATAAAATTTGTCAAATATTTTCTAAAACCACCCCCAGCGAGAATTTTATAGCTTTATGGGAATGCATCATAAGTTAACTCATCATAATAAGCATACTGGATCCTATCTAAATATCCATCATTTTCCTAAATAAAATTTAGTAGCCGAACGTTTCGGGTTGTGTAGCGCTTACTAAACAAGCTTAACCATCATATCAAAATATACTAAATTATCAAATCAAAAATGATAATATCATTAAATCAAAGCGACCATGTAACAATTTGAATTTTCCATCTCCTAGGTGACTTGTCCTAGAGAATTTAAATACGATCTAGTGTTACACACATCACAATGTGTGCTTATGACATAAACCCGGGGAATCACCATTCCCGGTGGTTGAGACCCACCACTACATCTTACATGTCGGTGTCGTGCATAATAATTTGTTATAACTAAGTTATTATTTACTAGTTATAGGTTAAGCACAAATTTAAAATATCTCTAAATTAGATCACATCTTCAAAAGTAAATGACCATCACGGCGCATAATCTAACAAAATAAATTCTAATAATACTATAACAATTATAAAAATGATACCCAAATTATACGTGCAACAAAGAAATCTTTATTAATATTCAAGAATATTACATAAAAATGTATTGGATGTTCAAGAGCATATTATTACTATTCTAGTAGCTATATGTGGCATGAGTGTAGATGTAGTGTATTGCAGTTCAGAAAAATTAGATGTTGAATGACTCCCACAAATATAAAAACCGAAAAAGAAAAATCCTAAGTGTGTGCATTATATTAGATTTTATTACTGATTTTCGCCTGCATTAGTGTTGGGTTAACTGCAAATGCACTCTTGTATTATGAGAGTGGAGATACTCATGCCCTTAAACCGGCCCCCTCAACGTCAGATTAGCGTTACAAATACTTTATTGTCCTCAACTTGAAGGGTAATTTACAATTTAGCCTTTTTCTCATTAAACTGGCGATAAAAGTTAATTTATGATTGCATAATTTTCACATGACCATCTAAATCAACAGGATAATAATGTTGTCTGGAGTTCAGAAGGTAATAACAAGATAACATGAAAACTATATCTCAAAAAAAAAAAAAAAAAAAAAAGAAAAAAAATAG